ATATATATATATATATATATATATTAATCAAATATTTCAAAAAAAAAAAAAAAATTTAACTTTTAAATTAATCGATTAGAATTTTTTTGCTCTTAAGAAATAAAAGAAAAAAAAAACCACTTTATTTAATTATCGATGATTATCATTTAAAAGACCAGGAAAAAACCTTGTATATATCCCTAATTCGTAAAATACCACGAAGATAATAAAAAGATAATAAAAAGGAAAAGGATATACGCAAAGATGATGACTAATGACAAGTCGTTGTTCACTCTTGTGTATTTTGTTTTTCTTTTTTAATTCCATATATCCTATATTGACGTAAACGTTCATTTCTAATGAATAATTACTTCCATCAGTTTACTTGTTTATTGTCAACGATTTCCGGGTTTATTTTATCTTTTCTTTTTTTTCTTCATGATCCGTAATGCACACGAGAGTGTAAAAATAAATTTAAAAAAAAACCGTTAGAACGTTTAAATTTTAAAAACGAAAAAAAGCCAATCAAAAGTTAGCTCAACTGTTAAAAAAACACTTTTGAATGATGGTGTGTTAGTGGGTAAGGGGTTTTAATTATTTTTAAAAAGTACTTTTAATTATATTTTTTTTTTTTTGACGTAATATGAAAATTAATGATGTAATGATAATTGATAGCAATCAATTATACTTACAGCGATTATTTATACAGTTGAAATGATGTTATAAAATAAATTGATGATGATGAAAAAGAAGAAGAAGAAGAATTCCAAATACGAGTTTAATCAAGGAACCTGACGATAGTAAGTTCTTCTCAACTCTGTAGCACTCTCTCAGCTGAACTTGAAGAATCCCTACCACTTTCTGGTCTTATGAGAACCATTCCCCACCATTATCCATCTTTAATATTAGATATGAATGTATATATACTTCTTCAGATGGCGTGGTATCTTTACCATTCTTCTTGTCTTTTATTTTATTTTATTTTATTTGAATGGACAATTGAACACGATACTTTATCAATTTCCTCTTGGCATTTCCACCATATTCCAAAATTCCAATGACCATAATAATCACGTTAGTTCGATACTTGACCAATCGATAATTTATATATGTAATTATTTTTTCTTTTAGTTTATATATATTATTTTATACTATATATGTATATTTAATATTCGTAGTATGGTAACGATTAACGTAGTACGAATCGTAAGATCACAGTATATACATATAACTACTAATATATATAATGTTAGTGTTATAAATATATAGTGTTATAACACTATGTTAATTTATTATATATACATTTAAAATTTATTATTATTAATTTAATTAAATTATTATTTTAAAATTATAAATTAAAAATAAAATTAAATATTAATAATATTTACAATTTATTAATATATATATATACTACGATCTTACGAATCGTACTACGTTAATCGTTACTATACGACGAATATTATATTATAATATTATATATGTATATATATATTTATATTTTAAATTGTTTATCCTTTCTCTTTCTCTCACTCTTCTTTCTTTTTCTCTCCTTTTAGAGATAAAAGAAAATGAAATTGGAAAAACCCAACAGGTACAGTCCCTTTCCAATCAAATAATTAAATCTTTCAACATGTATGGTATGTTTCTTCTGGTATGTTTCTCGTATATACGTATAGATATTACGTCATCGTTTATAAATCCTGACGAGTTGGAATTACCGATTTTTGGTGTTAAGGTCAAGAGATCTCTCCTCTCTCCCTCTCCCCACCCTTGAAGCTGAATTTTAAATCTTTCAAGATTCGATAATAAATTCTATGAAATATATTTTTTATTTTTATTTTTCGTATACGCAAATATCAAATATTTCTTTTTGTTTTAATTGATTCGAAAAACAAATTGCTTTTTAATTTTTAACAACAATAACAAAATATGTTGATATTATAATAATAATAATAAGAAGAAAGTATATATGTATGTATGTATGTATGTGTGTGTGTTTGTGTGGTTGAATTAAAAGATAATTAAATTGAACAAATTTATTAGTAATAAATTTAATATTGTATATAAAAGATTAATTATATCAATCAGATAAATTAGAGAACCAGACAGGAAAAGAAAGAATACAAAAAAAAAAAAGAGAAAATCGTAAGCTAGTTCAAAGGTCATTTAACGATGMCATTTGTTGATTTGATCATTGACCAAGAATAATGACAATAATTACGAGCTCCGTTTAGTATTATTTTYCGTATTTTGCAATTGCTTCTAGGTTATGACTCTTTTATCTGATTTATTTCAATATTATATTCTACACAGTAATATAATGAATGAAATTAATTATAAATAAAATAGAATAAAATACAAAATTTACGATTATTTAATAAATCAAACAAAAATAAGTCAAAATAAATCAAATAAAAATATTGAATAATTCTAAAACAAACAAAAAATAATTATTAATTATTAATTGGAATAATAAATTGATTACAGTAATATAATGAATGAAATGAATTATTATCAATAACATAGAATAGAATGCAAAATTATATTTAATAAATCAAACAAAAATAAGTCAAAATAAATCATACGAAAATATTGAATAATTCTACAAAAATAATTATTAATTATTAGTTGAAATAATAAATTAAGTACAGTAATATAATGAATGAAATTAATTGTAGATAAAATTGTTAAGAATAGCGTACATATAAGACGTTATGCCTACTCACTCTGCTTCCCCTACTCTTTACCCCTACTTCTCCTACGGGCCGTACAGTCCCTTTGTACAGGGCGCTGATCAGTGATTCCATTCGTACGATAATTATCGTACGCGTCACATAATTTGAAGCCTTGTACGATCCAAAATTCAGATTATCAGATTCAAAAATCAGATTAGATTTTCAAAATTTGAAAAAAGAGTACAAGTTTCAACTTTTTCAAAGTTGATGACCTTTTTTTTTTGTTACTCATCAAATTTTGCCAACGGGTAAGTTGAACGGTAAACGTGTTTAACTTGCAATTTTGATTCGAAGAAAGCAACAGCTTTTTTGAACTTGAAGACTAAAAAAAAAATAAACAAAAAAAAAAGAGGTCATCAACTTTGACAAAGTTGGAACTTGTACTCTTTTTTTTGAAATATTGAAAATCTAATCCGACAAATTCAACAAATTCAAAATTTTTTCTATGCGTACGATAATTTTCCGGTGTGTACGAAAATTTTACGGCCCTGTGTCGATCAGACGAACTAGAGCACTATAGAGCAGTGCTGTCAGATCGTGGGTAAATCTTACCCTCTCCCTGTGCCACTGGGATTGCACACAATGAAAGTTTTCCATGTCCGTGTGTTTGGGATGTCGAGGAAAGCCGAGTGTAACCGAAGTTGGCGGTTGGCCACGAAGTKGYACACTATGAAAGCGACTCGTGTCCATGTGYATGTCGGACGACACGAGTCGCTTTCATAGTGTGCCACTCCGGCGTGCCCGCCAACTTCGGTTACACTCGACTTCTTTCGACATCCCGAACACACGGACATGGGTAACTTTCATTGTGTGCAATCCCAGTGGCACAGGGAGAGGGTAAGATTTACCCACGATCTGACAGCACTGCTATAGAGATGAGTACTCTCATCCGCCATTTTTGCTCCTACAGAGAAGACACCAGTATGATTTTGTATGGTAAACACGTTTGTTGACATCAAGCGAGATTGAATTATTTATTGATAATTGTATTAAATTTCATTAAAAAAATTATTTGATAGTTGATGTTAGTACTTAATCTTTCTATTTTTAACATTAAAAGATAGATTAAACTACAAAATACTATTCAGTGATTGATTTATAAACACGGATAACCTATTTGGAACGTTTCAGTAATAATTTGGTAAGTAATGTTTTAATATTTCTCTGAAAAATACATAATCTGTTTAAATTATAAAAATACTGGATTTGTTTAGTAATATATATTAAATATATTGAATAACATATTACAAATAAAAGCTTAATAACTCTTATTTTTATTTTAAAACAGATAAAAAGTATGCCAGGAAAAAAAGGAAGACAACAACAAAAGATCAGTCGTTTCTAAAAGCAAAATGCTATTATATTCTTATTTTGAAACATTAATTATTTATGTTTATGTTATATAAATATGTAAATTAATTGTAAAATTAAAGATAATAATTGTATCTTTTTTAGGAGTATGAAAGTGGAATAAAATCTGTTGACGAAGAGACCATTATGTCTTTGCTTGCTGAAAATCGCTCTATCAGGGCTCAAATAGAGAGAATGAATGCAATTTTAAGAGAATATAAATCATATTCAGCAGCTTCAGAATATTTAAGCAAATACAATGTTTCATAATCATGAGCTTAAAATTAAACATGGTAAAAATTGTATATATTTAAAAAGAAAAGTAATGAACTGCACATAGCATAAGTGAGTAGTTAAAATTGTACATTGGAAATAAAATAAATTTGTATCATTTATATGAATATATCTATATTTATTTATTCATTTGTTCGGTTGTAAAAATATTATAAAATTATAAATAATAAAATTAATTGGATCGAAAGCGGTCCCCCAAAATTTTCAGCCAATGGCACATGAGCTGAATATGTATGGCGCATCCCTCCTACAGGATCCCTAGGATCACCTCGCTCTGTCTGTATCCGGTCTAGCTCTGGGCTAGTTGATCAGTACATTATTCTTTCACTGTATCTTATAATAAATATTACATCTTACTTTTTCTATCTTAACTCTGCGTTATTATTTATCAGCCATACCTTAACATGTTA